ATGTAATTAACCGTATGTTTCACCTTTGGCTGCGTTCCCACCTAAATGTAATGGTCCAATGAAAACTTATGGAAAGCACGCGTATGCTTTTCAACTGCTCTTCTGAGTCTCATTATTGGCAACTTAAAACCAAAATTACTCTTTCTTAAGGTATTAAATTCGAAGACGGCCTAATTCTGAACAAAATGACTACAGGGAATAATATTTTTTATGCATTTTTATAAAATTAATTTGAATTTCTACTGCCGCGAAAGTGCATGGGGAAAATGCATGCTACTTAATTTGTCCCTTTTAGCGGGTGTATTTTTTGCAGACGGTCGAAGAGAAGCGTCTTCATCTTGCCGCGACTGAAATACCTTGGGATTATGCTGCAGGATAATTAATGTGGAAACTTTTCAAATCGAACATCCATCCCAGGTGTCGATTAGCCTTTCATTAGATGGCACATCTACTCTTTATATTATCCAGCAGTTTCTGAATTCCATAAGTCTTGTCTGAAATACTAATTTTTCTCCCGCCGAAGATGAAGGAAGAATTCTGCAACCACTCTGACAATTTCGAAAATTAATTGGGCAAACTCCCAAACAATCTAATATCTTCCATTGTGGTTGAATTTAACAAACTCACCCATTTCCCCTATTTTAGTGCAACATTTATATTTCGTTATTGAGTTATGACTCAAACTCTTTCTTATGCAGGAGCAAGGCGAAAACCTGTCGGATGACACACTGCACAAGATTCTAGCTGACATTGACCTCAACAGAAATGGAACGATTGATGAAAACGAATTCCTTCAGGTAATATACTGTTCTGTCCGTACGATACATTCGTGTTCTTAAATTCTACTGCAGCCAAATAAATGCAACTGACTCCCTTTTCTCGGTGTAAATATACTTCCCATAAGCGCCTACAGTTTCTCTAGGGACTGTTTGAAGTATGTTTTAAAGTTTACAATCGGAATTACTGATGTCATTTCAGTAGTGTGCTTTTATAGTAGGGCTATAAAATAAGCGCTCCTTTTCAGCATCCTCCCAATCAGCTTTTTGGGTTGCTTCATACCCTGGCATAGTGAGCATCCCTCTACACGTCAATCGCCATCGTACTTGAATTTGCCTCCTTCATCAAACTGATGTGCTGTCTTTACTTGATAGCCACAAAATCCTACCGAGCAGCGCCTATTACGCATGTTCTTCTAGATCTTGATGTTTGGCTCCATTTGGGAGGCTACCCTGTTGTTTTCAGTTTCATGTTAGACATATGCGTGTGATCGAGCTTGCAATTTAGTTATTCTGCCCTCCACCTACTTTAGTAATTTGTCTGATCAGAGTTCCGGGAATCCCGGGCAATCCTCTATGCGGTCAAATTCGTTGGATGCGTTTCTTTTTGTCATGTTAAAACTGCCTTTGGTGTATATGCCGCTTATTGAAATGTTTTGCGCCTTGAACTATCTAACACACCTACTTTCCAAAAACATTGTCGACACACAGAGGCTTTAGTCTTTTTGGTGGTTGATTAGTTGTTTGGGGCTGCATTTAAGCTTAATTGGACGGTAAGGAAAATCTAACATTCATATTTTAGCATTGTTTTCATTAGCAACCTCCACGTTAACGACGGGTGTTGCTACTCATATCAAGTATTTCGATTTTGCTATGCGCCGCCTGCTTGGTGCTGTTTGCTGCAGTTAGTTTTTCTCCTTCGGAGTTCACATCATCTATTTGGGTAAAAGTTAATTTGGTCGCCCACCTTAACTATCTCTAGCTCCAGAATTTTTTCTTTCAAGTCGGGGGTTTTTAGTTTATTATTTAGTTCAATTAACTATATTTATCTAACGTCGGTATCTAACTCTTTATTATTATAATTTTTTATAATCTTATTCTGGTGGAGTATAGATGATTGCTTAGGATTTCCTGCCTGGGCCGTAAGCCCACTGTATCCGTATTGGTGAATTCCATGCGAGCAGTAGACTGGGCGGGTAAATCGCCCCAAGTGTGCTTAAATTCAAAGCTTCGACCTGCCGTTGTAGCTCAATGGTAGAGCGTTGGCTGTACAAAAGCCTTCCCTGTTGTGTGGGTTCGGCTCCCACGGAGGCCACGCATTTTTCACAATTGGGTCAACTCAAGTATCTAAATAAACTTAAAATAACCACAGGACTAGGGAGTAATCGCCTCTTCCAGTCCAAGGATTTCGAAGACTGGATTGACCGCGCAACGCTAGCGCTTTCAAGTGTTTTTCTGGCTTTTTACAATTCGCTATCTTTCATGTGTTTCATCACTATCTTGCTTTTCATTTTTCCCTTCAGTTCATGAGCTCCCTGAAGACGGGCGCTCGTCCGCACCACTCGCTGAAGAAGGTACTAGATCATGCCAAGATTCCCGTCTATCGCAGTG